AAAAAAATCTGAAAATACTCCATCGTACAATACAGTAAAAAAAAAATCTTAACTGAATAAAAAAAAAAACGATCAAAACCTGGTCAAAACATTTACATTGCTCCGTTTATTTTTCAAAACATCAGAACACCACAGGACTAACTGCTACAGCCCATGTTGCATCTTCACTAGGAAACATCAATGAATTATTTAACAGCTTTATGTTGATGCTTCAGGGTTTCCAATATATCACATCCCCCCATCCGAAAGAGTAATGCCTAAATTTTTAATACATCCAGTCCAAGAGGGAATGGGACTGATAAGAGTGACAGGAAAAGGGGTAGCTAATTGGATTTTAGAAAGTTAAAGAAAATCCTCTAAAAACATGCTTTAGTGGTTTTGGTGAACTTTTAGGAAACAGCATGTGTCATGACATGAATGCAAGACTACTAAAACATTTGTTTACATGATTCAATTTAAAAATTAGCAAAGAGTCAATGTTTTACGGCAGCCCTCATGACATTTCTCTGTTTAATAAACCAGAGCCTGGAAATAATTTAATACTGAGCATATTGCAACAAAGGCACTGATTCTATTATGTGCACAAACCCAAAAAGCAACTCATTGTTTTGACACACTGAATAAATCAATGCACAACAGCTCAGGGCAAACCGATGACATTTTACCACATGGAATCTTAAACTGCATTTACAGGAAAGGTACAAAAATACTCCTGTGGGATACGAGGCCAGGATGAATGAACTAAAACGTGCAGTGCTGTATTGGCGAACCGTTGAAGCATAATAGGCACGATGTGTGCTTTACGCCTTAAGGCCCAAGCAGCTGTTACAATGAAATCCATGTTCGTAATTTAATTTACTCTGAGAAGCCAAAATTGTACCCGGGTGAATTCTCCTTTGGCTCAACATTTTAACCGGTGGTTAATTAATAACGCAAACAGAAGTACACTGACGAATACACATAGGAATAATACAAGAAAAAGGGCATCTGCGCAGGCAGGCAAAGTCCTTAGGTTACATGCTGAAATTTGTTTTAATCAGTGTCTGCTTTGGGGTCAAAATAATATAACTAAAAAAATCTATTCCTTCTTTAATTCCCAACAGGTCAGAAAGTAGGACAATATCTAATAGAAAAATAAAGCAGCTTGATTGAAGAAGAAGTCGGTACGCTTTGAGGACCCCAGTGAT